TTGACTTTGTTTTACTAAAGTTGTTGACACGATTCATTTGTTTTAAATACATACGAGTATTTACTACGTTCCAATTAAATGTGGTACAATTTTGAACATAACTAACCAACCGCTACGTCATTGGTTCGGAAAGAGTACCCATTCGATTTTCAGAACCGACCTTCGAAAGAAGATGGCATTATACGAAGAAGAAGATCCAACTACATCATCAGCTCAATACCAAATGAGGTGAGAGGAGGAGGAGGGAGGGAGGCCTATGCTAAGTTAGGGGTGACTAGACCATAGTCAACCACGCTGGTCAAGTGCGGGTTGACTAAACACATATATTTAGATTTCTTCTCAGATATGTGAAGGTTGCTTCACGATTTTTTCATTTGCCGTAAGAACGTCTGATAAATGTACATATATAAATCAAAAAACACATTGGTACAAAGCGAGATTTGGACCTAGGACCTGCAGATTACAAGTCAAATGCTTAACCCTTGAGCCACCGATACCCATCAATCAATGAAGCCGTCTGATCCATACCACAATACTATCAATTTGTTTTTGTTTACTAGACAACGTACTTTAATATGTCAAAATAATCGAAAACGTTGTTAAAACTTCCTAAAGTTTCATTTGAATCAATGGTTGAAAGTTGATCAATAAAATAGTTGTGAACCTCGTGTCAAAATATAATTTAAAGCGAAATAAACATAATACCTATAATATAACTTCTCTAATTTAATTGCTGACTTTGTATTTATATTGAAATCATTAGCACAGATACAAAATGTCGAGGATTACATTTCTAATTTAGCAAGATGGCGGATTTCCCCGCTTTGAATTTAAACATTATAGATCCAACAATTTAGGGAAGTAAATGCTTTTTAATGATAATTCGGCGACTAAAAGCTTGCCTATCTTACTAATATTATAAATGCGAGTGTTTGGATGGATGTTTGTTAGAAGGTATCTCCGGAACGGCTGCATGGATTTCGGTGAAATTTGGCATACATGTAGAGCATAGTCTGGAAAAACACATAGGCTACACTAAATAAGTTTTTTTTTCAATTCGCGCGGATGTCGTCGCGGGCGACAGCTAGTCAAATATAAATGAGTTCAATGGATAGGCTGTCATTCAAATTAGTTAATTGAATGGTCCTTAAGAGGCTAAAAGGAGATAACGAAAGATTAAAGGCAAACATAGAACATTAAGAGTATAAACAAAATGTAGGCAAAGGCCTGTAGTAAACGAATTTGATTTATTTTAATTTAGAATTCTTATTAATTATTTAAGTTTGGTTATTTGAAAGGAAATAAATCTTATCAATTACCGAAGCTTTCTACTTTAATATGATTTGTAAAATATAGTTTAAAAAATATATAAATTTTAATGTTTAAATTCAAATTCCAATCCAAGAGCTGGCGCGCTTTTCGGGCAAAGGTTGAGCCTGGCCATTCAAAGAGGAAAGAGGAAATGCCGCCAGCCTCTTGGGTACCCTACCCTGCGAGCACGGCGATTTGGGGTTTATTTTCTACAATATTTTGTTTAGTTTTAGAATATAGTTTTTTTGATATAGTATAAATTATTAGCTTATGTCTTAGTTTAAATATATATATTGATTATTTATATAAGTAAATAATTAATTACATTTCAATGTAAAATAAACTAGACAAACATAATTAAAATTGGATATTCAATATATCATATTCGTTTTATAATTTCCTAACAGAAACGAAAGATGTGCTGATACGGCACAAACGTCAAGTTAGTCATTTAACGTAGTTTAAATGACCCCATAGTGAAGATTTCTTATATTAAGTCTACACTAAGGGACTGCTTATCTAATCGGAGACAGGACATGATACTAACAATTTGCAATATTTTATGTTAAAACACCGGTAGCTCAGTAAAATATTCAAAGTACTTTCATAAAAAATGTATGTGGGGCAACGCGGGCTTGTCTCGTAAATCTTCTGTGTTACTGATATGAAAGAAAAACGCCGTATTGATGACGCAGGTGCGAATGTTCGTAGCCTCTCTTATGTAACGCTTGAACAAGGAAATGACATATAACTTCTATCGATTAACATTAAGAAATAAATCGAAATTTCCAAAAAAATATTCTAACAATGGCACAGATTTTTATTGAAAGGTAAATTATCTTCCCTCTTACTAATATTATAAATGCGAATGTTTAGATGGATGTTTGTTTGAAAGTATCTACAGAACGGCTGCATGGATTTCGCTAAAATTTGGCATAGATGCAGATCATAGACTGGAAGGACACATAGGATACTTATTAAGTTGTGCATCCTCTCCTCGGTCGATTAAAAATAGGCAACGCTTACGCAATTGCGTATGTCGGTGGACAACGGTCACTACGTTATTTCAGCGATTTCAGGCGACCGCTCGCTCGTTTGCCACCTTATGATATAAAAAAAAAGTTAATTTTAGAAATTGTGTTGTAAGTTTTATAAGATAAAATATTTTATATAAAATGTATATTTAGATGTAAATATTATACTCACATAGAATGATAAAGAGTGACAACTCGTCAGCGTATCTGAAAACAAATTCGGAGACAATTTTATTTGTCACAATGAAGTCGAAATGCGAGACTTGTTTGATAAGAAAATACGTTATTTTCCTCACAATTCTAAGTCGTTTAAGTGTATTCTAAGGAAATATCTTTATTTAAATATATTTTGTTTACTGAAAAAGAAATTAAATACTATAAATAAAGATTCTAATTCCTTATTGTGTTTTTTTTAATATTCTATTGACTTATTTTAAAGTATGTAGGAGTTTTTAACTAGGTTTGTTGTCGTTAAAGTCTTAAGAAGTCCGTCCGTAAATTTTTTGTCATCTTCATCTCTGTCTATACTATCATTTTAAAGTGGAAATATTTGATTGTTTGTTTCAATTAAAGAGGCTCAGAAACTACAGAACCGATTTGAAACTTTTCTTTCACTGTTAGGAAGGTAGGAAGCTACACAATCCACGGATGATATAAATTACATTTATTACTAGATAATTTTTAATAACGCGCGGATGACGTCGTGGGTAACTTCTAAATGTAGATAAAAACCTAAAAACATGTTCCTATCAAATATTTTATGAAAACATTTCCAACACCAATTTTAGTATTAACTAGCTGTTGCCAGCAATCTCGCATAGCAGCGTTATGGAATGGTCTGTCCTCGGCGGTATTTTCAAACCGCTACAACTTAGGGTCCCTCAAGAAGCGAGCTTATCACTATCTCAAAGGCCGGCAACGCATCTGCGGTTCCTCTGGTATTGCTGATGTCCATGGGCGTCGTTCAACACCTCGGTGTTCCCGCTGCTAGTTTGCCCCCTTCTGTTATTAAAAAAAAAACTTCGTCCGCGTATTATAAGTATAATAAATTGCAACTTGTTTTGGTATTAATATAATACTTACAAATCTTTTCAATTGTTTTCTTTTTCTTACTTTAAAAAACAAATACTACGTAGAGAAGTCTCTTGGCTCGTATATACAAATCTCTAAAATTATAAAAACCCCGTCGAGATTTCTATCACTGAGAGTTTACAAAAGTATTTTAACACAGAAGTTTGTAAAACAAAGGTCCATTGTTGATTTAATAACGCGACGAACGTTGAATGTTATTTTTGTCGAACTTTTAAATTGTTTTTTTTTAACATTTTTGGCAGGTCTAAGTTTATTCAAGTGTGCATTTTTTGTGAATAATGAATTTAGTGTAATTATTTCGCACCCAAACAACACTAAAAGATTTGTTCTATTTATTATTTTACACACTTTTAACGTTATTATAGAGTACTAAGTTACATCGCCGCGGAATTAATGTTTTCCAGACTATGTTCTACATCTATCAGCGAGACCTTTGCAGCTGCTCTGTGTCCTTGTAACTATCCAACAATCTTTCACATTTATAATATTAGTAAGATTTGTTCTTTGACCTCCCAATCAGAGGAAGAATAGATAGTTATTAATCAATTTCATCTGTTAAAGTTAATGTAGATGTTATGTACCAGGAGGTGAAAAGCATTAGATAGAGCAGACTGAAAGTTTTTCCATCGACAACAATAGTTCTTATATAACCAACGACAAATGTTGGCACTACTTCAATACCAACACGTATAATAATTACAAAAGACATCTTTAATTTTAAAAATTAAAACTAACACTTCCTTTTTCAATATAAAAGTTAATACGTTTTTTACTGACAATAACTGCGAGAAACAGTACGTGTAACCATCTTACGACACATAACAATTTAATTTTACATCTCCCAAGAGAATACCTTTGTTGCGCTACGAAAAGCGAAGCCTTGGATAAGATTCACTTATACACATATATACTTTTACACATTTGCACATTTTACATATTTACATCAAATTGTTTGTGTAGTCTTTTTTGAAATATTTAACATATTTAAAATTTTAATCAATAAACCTACACTAATATTATAAAGATAAAATATTTATAAAAATTGTACATACGCAATGTAACTTATAGGAAGTCATTGGCTCCTTTAATAGAGGGAAACCTAGTTAAGGAGCCAAAGTTATAATGAACCAGATTTGTTAAATTTACAATAAAGTTTTATATATCTTCTTATTTATTATAAATTATATTTAAAAGTATAAATTCAAAAACTTATTTAATATTAAAAATTCTTTCACTAGAAGAATATTCAAGTATCCTGGTTATTTATACTATATTTAATATTGTTATAAAAAATAAATACATTATAAATATATGTAAAATATATATCAATAGTAAGTAGTTGCAAGAATGTGCTGCCTTTCATTTTCGCGCTATAATACGAGTATTCACTTTAAAAGCTTTTATAACTTAACTCAAATAGTTTAGGACAACAGATGTTACTTGAATGCTAAAACTACGAATTACGTCGAAACGCATTAACTTTGAAAATTATTACTTACTCTTACTTACTTACTCCGCTGGCGCATCGACCCAAAGTGGGTCTTGGCCTCCGACACAAGAGATCGCCAAAGTCGCCTGTCTTGCGCCTTCTCCTGCCAGTCCATCGCTTGTAGCTCCCGCAGATCCAGCTCTACGGCGTCTCGCCAGCGGTACCTGGGCCGACCGATGGGTCGGCGGCCAATCGGGGTCCCGAGGTATGCTGCTTTGGACTTTCGATCTTCCCCCATCCTCATGAGGTGGCCCAGCCATCGGAGTCTTTGAGCTTTTGCTTCTCCGATGATATTCGGCTCACCCACCAGCGTCTCAATTTCCGCGTTGTAGCGGGTTCTCCAGCTGCCGTCTTCTCTTAGTGTTGGGCCCAGGATCTTGCGCATGATTTTTCTTTCCGCCACCAGAAGCTTTTCCTCCTCTTTAAGGGTCAGTGTCCAGGTTTCGCAGCCGTATAGCAAGATCGGTCTTATCACTGTTTTGTATATCCGTATCTTGGTTCTTCTGCTCAGTAGCTTCGACACTAACACTTGGTGCAGAGCGGCACTACAACGGAGGGCGTTGTGAATCCGGATGTTAATTTCCTCTTCTCGTGTATTGGTGTCCGTTATAGTGCATCCCAGGTACTTGAAAATTATTAAAGTATAATAATTGTACATACATATCTATAGATGATCTAACTTCAAATCGATTGAAAACAAAATCTTGTATTTATAATAGCATCTAGCTTACATAATGAGGTTTTAGCTTAAGTCTTTAAGCCGCCATACACGAATACCGGCTGATTTTAGCAACGACTATAATCTGCGGGTCGTATAATACGAAGGTCTGATGACCCCTGTTTGAAGCGATCCGTGTATAGTTCCCTTTAGTGCATATGATAGAAGAAAATAGACTTTCAACACGCATATACGACATTTGACAAGTTTCTTGTAAATAATTGATGAGGTTTTCTCACGCGTTTTCATGTTTGTACGCTGTCAGTGGCAACGCATGTCATTTGTTACTGGTCATATATCCACAAACAAAACACAGAATAATATAATAACATCAATATTAGTATATAACTATTATGTTTACGCTACGATATTACAACTGCTACTATGGCTACGGATTTTGCTACGTATATGCTACGAACACTAAATGCCGTAGCATGTACCACGTAGCATCCGTAGGTGCTACGACTATTAAAAATTCGATTATATAATAATACGATAAATTTTCAGAAAATGAATGATATTTGTCATTTTATATTCAATGTATTTTTTCTTATATTTTAGAGAATTTATTTCTTCGTTCGTTTATCTACAATCCTAAACGTATGTACATTATTAAAGACAGTTAGGCAATTAATCTTACGGTGAAGGAAAACATAGTGATGCAATCTGCACGTATCTGATAAGAAATTCAAAGATATGTTTGAAGTCAACCAACCCGCACTTGACCAGCGTTGACTATGGCCTAATCAATAATCGCCCTGAACTTAGGGTAGGCTCCGAGCCCCTCGGTGGGGACGTACAGTGAGCTGGTGATGAGGCAATTAATTGATGTTATATCAATAAATTATGTTAAGCTACCGTAATTCATGGTGAAGCAATAAAGCTTTCAATTCCTTATGTATTTATTATGTATGCTAATGTTATACGCAAATGTTATAACTTTTGAAGTATCAATATTAAGTAACTTTAACTTAAGTATGAATTACAAGATTTAATTACAGCAAATATTTTTTCAGTAGTTTTTCCCTGCCTTTAAAAATTGTAGATCCGGTGCTGGCAAAGCACATGATACAATAGTGTTTTACGCAAAATATATCATACAAGTAGTGAGCGACGGGCCGCGTCCGCGAAATAATACCAGTCCCACTCACCTAGATGAAGGGCCCACGATGGGCTCGAAACTAGTCGGTGCCGCCACCGGACGAATATACGTGAGTGTTTAGCCGTTTTTATATATCAGTTTAGTATCACGTCTCACAAAAGTTTGAATAATTTATTTTTTTAAGTAGAGTGAATAGGCACTTTCTAAGCTAGCGCGTACCATCTTTCGACCAAATCTCCACTTGACCAGGTGGGATCGTGGTCAATTGCTAGCTTATAAAACTTAAAAAAAAATTAACATCATACAACTGTAATAATATGGAATATTTAAAATCACAACGTGATCGTTAGTTTATAGTGTAATAGTATAGTTCGGGTAAGTTGGAATCGCCGCCGTAAGGAAACGAGCAGGGTGCTATTGCGTCCCTGAGTCCATTGAGACTTGGTTATCTCGTTCCGACGCATAAACATTTATGACCGCTACGTACACAAATAAAATACACTCTCTTACGACTCTAGTAATTAGAAATATGCTGTTTCAACGCATTGAATACAGTTTTATTCTTCTTTTTTGTATATTTTACTCTTAGGTTAGGACATATCATCAGCAGCACGTCCCCAATATGGGGCTCGGAGCCTACCCTAAGTTAGAGGTGACTACGCTATAAACAACCACGCCTAGCGCGGGTTGACTTTACACATATCTTTGAATTTCTCACCAGATATGTGCAGTTTCATCACGATGGTTTCCATCTCCGTAAAAAATGAAATGAACAAATGTAAATTGAAAAACACATAAAGTTATAGGATCACATTTAGACTGCGTATTCTATCTTACCAATATTATAAATGTTACGAATGTTTAGTGGGATGGATGGATGGATGAAGGTAACTCGAAAACGGCTGAACGGATCTAGATGAAATTTGGCATACATATAGAACATATTGTGAAACCACATAGGCTACTAATGATATTTTATTAATTTCGCGCGTACGGAGTCGCGAGCAACAGCTAGTCTTACGATAGATAACATTTTATTACATAGGTCTATCACGACTTCGTCTTCCAAAAATATCTTTAGTATTAAAAATGGAATATATCATTGCAAGAAAGGTTTGCCTAACAAAAGTACCGAAGAGAAATATTTTATCTGGCAATTTTCAACTACAAAATTGCTTTCGACTTGTAGCAAATAGTCGGCGGAACATTTGACATTTTCATTTGAATTGCAAAATATATTTCTGAGCGGTTACATTTAAATTCAAACTTTTATATACATATACATAGGAATAATATATACTGTTAAAAACCTTTATCTTACTTCATACTAATATTATAAATGTTTAGATGGAAGGATGTAAATGCGCCATCTGCGCTCGGCCACCTCAAGCCCAGTGAAGCTGTAAATGCCTCTTTAAGGAAAACAGTGACTACTCAATCACCAAAAAAAATGGAAGGATGTTTGTTCCAAGATATTTTCGAAAATGCTCAACAGATTTTGATGAAATTCGGCACATATGTAGAAACACAAAGACAAACACAATGACTACTGATTATTATTTTTTTCACGAACGGTGTCGCGGGTCACAGCCAGTACTCGTACTATTATTCTGATCTAACAAACACTTAATGTATAATAATAACTTAAATATATATTTTTTAAGTTAAAAATAAACTTTCACTACAAGTTTACTAAGAAATAATCAGCCCTAGATTCTTTATTTTAGCTAACAAAAGGGCTTAGTAAATCAAAAATAATTGGATTTTTTTATTATCGAAAACAAACGAACGAATCTTCCTGTAATTATAAAAGGAAATAATATCTAATTGTTATAAATCCTATACTCATAGTCACAAAAAGAAGTCTTTAAATATTTAATTAACTTCTGTTACAATTTGTTACTAAGATAAGAACAAAGCCGAGTTACCGAAATCGTAAGAAAAAAGTCGATTAACTTGCCCATGGCAGCAATTAAGATTTTCTTTCATCCTCATACCAATATAATTACTTTTTCTTTTATTCACTTTTTTATTTCTATTTTATTTATATCCTGTAAAACATCTTAAAACGAGAGAATGGACAAATGGTTGTTTTATAGATTTATTCTGTACTAGCTGACGCTCCCGACTTTGTCGCGCGGAATTTAAGAAGCGCCTTAAGGCGATTCAAAAAAAAAGAATGAATATACCTGTCCGTCTCCTGGCTCTAAGCTACCTCCTCATCGATTTTCAGCCATATCGGTAAAGATGTTCTTGAGTTATAAATAGTGTAACTAACACCACTATCTTTTTTATATGTATACTAGCGGACCCGACAGACGTTGTCCTGTCTACACGCCTTTAATTTGAAAATTCGAATATTATTTAAAATTTGACACTGCGATGGTAGCGCCGTCTGTCGGATCCAATGTAAAACATTCCAAAATCAACAACTACTAATAAATTAAAAATTAATTAAAAAAACATTGTCCAGCGGACAAAATTGTGAATCTAAACCATTCCCAGATCCCCTTGAACACACACAAAAAATTTCATCAAAATCGGTCCAGTTGTTTGAGAGAAGTTCAGTGACATACACACTCACAGAAGAATTATATATAAAGATATAGATATCACCGTTTATTTTTATTATGAACATGCAAAATAAAGGCGCTAAAAGCAAAGCAAGAAGAGATATTCTTTACTCTATTCTATTCTATATTAATCAATTAATTTATAAATAAACAAAACACTAATTAATAATTAATTTAATTTAGTAACACATCTAATTTAATATGACTTTGATTAAACGCTTTTGATTCGCAAATGATATTGAAATAGTTGGAATATTTTGGTGTGTTTTAATTAATATTGAACATAGTTTGACACCAGATTGCTTTATTAAAATATTAATTAACATCATCAGCTCACTATACGAGGATCTCGCAGCCTACCCTGAGGTAGGTGACTAGGCTGTAGTCAACCTGAAAAGTGAGATGTTAAAAATTTATTGTATTATTTTATTAACTACAAGGTATATTAAACTGATATATAAACACGGCTAGACACTCACGTATATTCGTCCGGTGGCGGCACCGACTTGTTTCTAATCCAACGCGGGCCCTTCGTCAGGATGAGTGCTGATATTGTTTCGCGAACGCTGCCCGTCGCTCAGCTTATATATCGCTTATATATCAGTTTAGTATAATGTCTCACGAAAGTTCCTCCCGTCAAATCTATCAAAAAAAATTGACTTTGATATTTTCAAATACAATCTTACTTCTTACTACACGACTATGGCCGCATGATATTGTTAGCTAACGCCCAGTAAGAATCGCACGACTCGTAAAGTAGAAAAGGTTTCTTGTTATAAAAGTTAGAATTAAACACTCTATCACTCTATACAACGGTAGTAGCTCACAGATTCTACATTTAGCGGGCTATTAGCTAAGTGAATCGTTAAAAGCTTGCGGCACGTGTGAAGTCTTTTGTGTAACATTCATTGTAAGAGAACATTTTGTTTGTTGAAATATGAAATGCGTTACACAGAGCTTACGCGTTCCTACAAGTATCTTAGTATGAATCATTATTTGAATTCCTATATATACTAGCTGTCGCCCGCGAATCGGTACGCACGGCATTATATAAAAACTTAATTAGTAGCCTGTGTGTTTTTTATATCATAAGGTGGCAAACGAGCGAGCGACCTTTAATCGTCAGAGGAGAAGGATGTACAGAAAGAAAATATATTACATTCCCGTGCATCCTCTCATCCGGAAAGTCCACTTCCACTTCCCATCCTTTCCTTGTAATAAAAAGGGTGGGAAGGGAAAGAGGACTAAATTAGGCCTCCGGGACG